GGAGACAGAAGTAACACCTTGCTACCTCTCTTGGTGCAAAGCAGGGGAAAAAAAGAAAAAAAGAATCAAAAAAGGAATACAAAGGGGAGAGGGGAAAAAAAAAGCCCAATCTCCTTTCTATTCAGTAAATGAAAAATAAATGTAAGGTTGGTAGAAAGACAACAATAGTAGCTAAATACTCTGTATTCATTAGGTAAGAACAAATGACAGTGCTTATATATAAAGATTTTAATTTTGAAAGGATGCAGGATTAAAGCAATATATTTATTTCTAGTTTACAGGGTTCACCTGTCTGACCACTCCTGCCAGTAGAAAAGCTCAGTTGCCATGCAGAGAAGTCAGTGAAAAATCATTTATCTAGGATGAACTTTTATTTTTGTCATCTAAACTTCTTTCTAGGTATTTAGTCATTACTATATACTATGCAACAATCATGTTTTAACTGGTGGCCATTCATAAACGTTTACTGAGGTGAACAGAGCTGGATGACAGCAATCCCACTTTCAACACAGAGATCTTCGTGCGTACCCTATGCTTCTACGATATACAGTGTTACCAAAAAGACTTAACACATGTGGGCTCCTTCATTGTTTGTTGTTGCCTCGTTTTTTTTAAATTGGTTGCTTCCTTATTTGCTTCCCAAGTTGTAGGTGAAAAAAGGAGAGTCCAGTGATGTCTCATTACGTGAGAAAAGGAGCTACTCCCTAACATTTACAAAACTGCCAGGAAAACAAAGCCAAATCTTCAGTGAGCATCAACTGCTATACATTCCTCCAGACACTATGCCCTTAATAATGCTTGAGGATTTTATAAACATTCTCTCTCAAACCAGCCTCACTGCTTCTTGGCCCTGCCGTCAAGCCAATTCCCTTTAAGACATCACAGTCTTTGTCAATGGAGGTAATACAAGGGTCTCTCTGTTGGTGCTGTGCTCTCCTAAAGACTTGAAAAGAGAGAATGGCTTTAAAAGCATCTTTGTTTAGGTGCTGGGGGAAGAGGTAAAAGCTGGCACATTAAGAGAAGGAATACATCTAAGCTTCACGTATGCTATATTTTTAAGTCTTCTCACAATAAATTTGGAGAGATGCCTTAAAGAGATGGGGATGACATTTGAAAGTGAAGGTTTTTATTTGGGGAAGAGGAGAAAGAGCTGTTCAGTTTCTTTATCTGAATGCAAAGTGAGTCACTGCACAGTTATCCACTGTGGATTAATTCACTCTACAGTGAATCTGCTTGTCTATTCAGACTGGAAGGCTTAACTTGTCAGTGTTGCCATGAACAGAAGCTGTCAGTAATGAATTCACAGCTGCAGGTGACACACGCCTTAGAAATTCAATTAGCCAAAAAAATGCAGTAGAAGAAATGGCTTTCCTAAATGATGTCAAGGGAGATCACAGGAAAAACTGTATTTGGCATGTGGCTGTTCAGTATAACCAGGGCCAAGCAGTTTAAATAAAATTTGTAAAAATGTGCTCCCAGATGCTGGGAGGAAGAGGGAAGAACAGCAAGCAGAGTTCCTGCTAGCCTAGACCTATTCACTGCCAGGGTCACGGGAGGGCAGGAGCCTCCCCGCAGCTCCTGTTTCAGCAGAAACAAAAGGGCAGGCCAACCTTTCAGCTGAAGGACCCCCTGATTAGCCTTCCCAAGATGCTTTCTTTGGGTGAATCTTTCACCTGCATGCAACATACCTCACTGGATGTTTCCTAAGAGCAAACCAGCCCAGCCCTGTTCCCCAGTCACCTCTCTCATACTGTACATCCAGCACACAGGGAACATATCCAGGTGTGCAACCATGCTGTTTCTTCCTCTTTGCTCTCCAGGCTTTAGCACTGAAAGACTATATAAAATCAAACTCATCAAATATATGTTAATCATTGAAAACAAACAGAAGTAAGTAAATATGACAATGACAAGCCTGAAACAAGCAGAAAATGAAGTCATGGATGTCACTAGAAGTCACCAGAGCTTACACAGCCATTATCCAAAACGCCTATGCATAGAAAACAGAGGTCACAGCCTACAGACACCTACCTCAAATGAGGGTCATTCAGCATATTCACAAAAGGTTTCATCCATCAGCTTCGAAATGGACTAAGCAAATAATTAAAACCAGGGGTTTTGGTTTGTGCAAAACCATTTCTTTCATTATCTTCAATTCCCTTTTTATTATGTTCTTACTCTGCCACAGACCTAACAGCACTCCTGTACCACCATGGGTAACACTACTCGTGCTGGCAGCTGTAGGATTTTTATGGGCATTTGGATTCAGAGTCCAGTTCCAATGGAAAGTGAAAAAGAAGTTTCATTCAGCATACGGCATCGTAGCTAACGCTGCCCTGTCTAAAGTCATATCAGACCAGAGATACGCAACATGACATAAAAAGCACAGGGATGGGAAAAAAGATAAGATGAAAATAGAAATGGGACTTAAAAAAAAAAAAAAAGACATTAAAAACACTACACCCAAACCCCAGCAATGAGTTTTAAACCCAGAAATGCCCTTTATCTTTTTGGCAATGGAAAATGAAGAATGGGTAATGCAGAAGGTAAGGCCCTGCACTGCTTTACTTCTCCCCCAGGAATAAAATATCCAGTCAAACAAATAATGAAATGCAGACCACAGTGCACTTCCTATTTTGAGATATGATGTGCAATGCCAAACCTACTTGGAGGCAAATAAAGTCTCTCAGCATGAAAGTATTTTCAAACTTCTCAACAATGTCATTTTGCCAGTCTGCTCTCATTTTCCAGAAGAAATTGCCTACAGCCATTTGCAGCCGATCAACACCCTTTTCCATGAAGAGCAGACCACACCCACACTCTCCTTTTTTATTAGAAAGGCAAAATACATTTTGAAAACTATCTCCGTAGCTCTCCTTGTCCAGCTGCCTTAGGTCAGCACTGTGGGATCCTGCTTCCCATAGGGCACAGCAATATTCTCAGCGCTGAAGGATGAGCATGGTAGAACTGCCAAAAGCACCTGGGAACCAAGTGCTTTTGAACTCGCGGGAGGCCGAGCCACAAGGCAGGCAGTATCAGCGTGCCGGTCCCTTAGCAAAGCTGAAACAATGGGCTGCGAAGGGCTCAGTGAAAAAGAGCATGCATTTGCTGAACAACACACGTACAACAACACTGCTCCTCCTCTCCCACTGCTCTATCTGTGTGAGCTTCAAGCCGCTTTAACCTACAGCACACGTCTGAGAAATCCAAGGTTTCTGCCTCCATCACACACGACAAATGAGATAGGTCGTCTTGGGGTCAGCAAAAACAGATGGAGTACAACAAGGAGCCTTGCTGTATCAAAATAATTATAAAGGAAAGAACCACTTCTTGGTTAAGGAGCAATTATAATTACAGCCATCCCCTTCCCCTGAAGTTTCCCAATAGTCTCCTAAACAACACAGCTGCTCCTTGTGAAGCCACTGGACTTGACCGCAGGGCCTAAACGTAGGTGAGATGCTTTCCGAAATCTTTGGAAAAGCCTTCCCAACCACTCTGGCCACTGTCCTTTTTCTCTCAAGTGAAAACTAGAACAGGCTAATCTAAGCCAGCTCAACTGTGCCAGTTTCTACCACACATTACATATGATCTCTAAGCAACCCAAGATCCAGGGAAAACCATAAAAAAAAAAAAAAAAATCCATATTATCAGAAGTCGTCTTCCCTCTGGCAAGAGGGACACCTAAGAAGTACAAGAGCAACAGCGTTATGTTCTGAATTGCACCTGCAATCTGCAATACCCTGCACTCAACCTTGCTGCAAGCAATTGAAAACATTGCTGGAAAACAGCAATCCATGGAAACAACCAAAAAAGAAGAATGAAAGACGAAAGAGCATCTGAAGACAGAAATCTGCAGATTCTAACTGAAGATTGAAATCTAAGCCTCAAAACATTACTCATTTTTAAATGGGGGGCAAATGAAGAAGCTAGTGCTTCGCCCTCAAGAAAACAAGAGCTATTAGGAAGAAGCTGTTCTCAGATGAGCAGGAATAACCAAAGGTTTACATGCAATACATTTTGGTCTTTGGCTCAACTGCCACCTCGTCACTGCAACAGCTGCAGCTTCCCATCCCACAAATTTTGCAACATCCCTCTCAGTTCTTGGCAGCGAAAGGACAAATGTAGTGACTAGAACAAAGGTATGCTCAAGCTTGCTGCCCAGACTGCCTTCTGCTGATAAGAACAAACACATAGCAGAGTTCTGCTTGTTTTGCTCATAGTCGGGACAAGAAAGAGGGCATCTTCTTTGCTCGAATGCAAGATTTTACAGAACTCTTAGGATCTTGCTTATCATTGAGAATTCCACCTCTGCACTAAATTTACTTAACCTTCAGAACTTGCTCAAAAGGCATTTGATGAAGCGGGAGACAGAACGGTGTCGTGCTTCCCGAGGAAGCTAGGCTAAATCCATCTGGCAGAAATCTACAGGATGTTTTTTGTTCACGTTAATACTTTCCTGAGGGTCTACAGTGACATCTTACAAACTTACTTAAGAGAACCCTCTGGTGTTTGCAATCACTTATCACAAAGCCCCAAAACCTTCAACCTACCAGGTGACCACAGAACTCGCTGCATAGTCAGCTGTCCCAATATTCAGTGAGGGGCCTCTACCCACCAACACTCAGACTGAGTACTGACACTCTGCATGTACTCATGCACCACCACTTGACCTTCTCAGCATATCATTTCCCCCTTCTCCTTTCCAACAATCTTTACAGGCAAACCAAAAATCATAGCAACAGAAGCAGTCTCTCTAACCATAAAAGGTGCTGCAGCCTCACTGAGAAAACCACAGAATCATGGCAAGCATTGCATTTTCACCATCCAAACAGGTATCTCACACAGGTCAGCAAAAGCCAATCTCAAAATGCACCCTTCTAAACACAATAATGCGTGCACAGCCATCATTGATTCCGGTAGTCTCTGCCCTTTGCTGATCTGTTCTCCCACAGCTGAACTTAACCCTGCCTGAGACAGAGCCCCCCCCCAGTTGCACTCACCTCTATAGGCTCAGAAGGGATTTCCAATTTGGATAGTTTGGCTTTGGCGTTCGCCTTCAAATCTGAGATTTTTTCATAGGGTTCTCCGTGGTATTCCTCCAGGAGCGGTTTGAGCTCCGGTGATTCAACTGGTGCCTGATCTTGGCCATCCATTGGTCTGACATAGGCAGTTGGTTTCTGCTGCATTGCACTGGTTTTTGACGGCAAAGGTGGGGGAAAAGTCTGAGAGGAAGGCTGAGTGGTGCTGGTCAGGTTAACGGCTGAGCTGTCCCGACTTTCCTTCTCCTGTGATGCTGTCACTAGGTCCTGAGATGATTTTGTTTGACTGTAGGTCGGCCCATGACTTTTGCTGCTGTTCTGTGACCTGGAATTGATATGCTGGCTGGAATGTAGAGGTGACAGGGGTGCCACTGGAGAAGACAAAGATGACAGCAATGGAGAAAGCGCCAAAAGGGAGGCCTGCAGTTCATTAGCACGACCTTCACCAACCGCACGCCTGTCATTTCTCTTGTGGTGAAAACCTGCGTGACTTTCCTGGCCACCACGATTGTGTTCTTGACCTTGGCTCCGACCATTGGATAAGCTGTGACTCTTGGCGTGCAAACCTGAAGCTGGTTCTGTTCTTGATTGTGCCTTTTGGTAGTGAATGGAGTGGCTTGGAGGGGGACGAGCTACAACCGTAGGTCCCATGGGTGGATGGCGGGTTGTGCGGTGGAATGAAGATGGTAACGTATGGCTGGTCTTTTCAGGGAAGTATGGGCGATCAGGCTTTCCTTGTGGGATCAGAGGAGCAACACTTTCTGGAATCCCTATGAGATTCTGATGGGATTTGTTGCTGATGAACTCCTTGACCTCCTCATAATTGCCCAGCATGTTCTGAATTCGGCTTGACAACTCATCTTCTTTATTAGTCTGCAACAGAAGAACAGAGAGGGGGAAATTTAAAAAGCACAGACCCCCCCGCCGCAAAAGATCCAGCTCAAGAACAGACATTCTTCAGGATCTTATTTTAATCACCGTGCATCACCACGAGTGAAGTTATGCAAGCTCATCTTGATCCTGCATGCAGCCTTTCCAGAGCAAGTGGGACTGTTCTAGTCAGCATTAGTTCTTCTGAGCCCAGATTGCAGGTGTGCCTGCAGCCTTCGGGAACACTAACATCAGACCAGTTTGTTTCAACCACAGCTGCAGACAGACAGGCAGCCAAGCTGCTCTTGAGCACTCCCTCAAACTCCCAGACTACAGGAGGCCGCCAAATGAATCCGTCCAACACAAAGTCCCTACAGTGCTTGCACCATCTACAGAGCTTTAAGCACATACTCTGATGAATTTAACTCAAGTAGATGAGAAGATGCTGTGTTTGCACGTATCATACTCAAGTCTACTATACCATATGCAGAGGCCGCAGCTCTCCTGCTCCATCCCAACCCTCTTTCCTCCTCTCCCTCCATCACATGCCCCGCTGTCATTACCTTGTAGGGTTCTGCAAAGAGGGGAGTCTTCTCGGGGAACTTGTCTTTCTCCTGCAGAGCCTCCTGATTCCGCCTCTCTTTCTCTCGAATACGCAGCAAGTTTCTGTCCTCGTTGTACAAGCTTTAGGAAAGAGAGAAAGAAAGGATGGTTAGCACTTTACATCAGTGTTATCAACAAGTATCTACTTTGTGCAGAAGCTGTGGTTTTCAGACAACAGTATATGTCCAGCATGAAAGTAATTTTGAAATCCACAGGGTGGTATAGCTGACAGATCAGTTATGTCAAGTATTTGCCATACTGCATAGCAGTGTAACGTACATGGTACAGCATGCACCCTTCTTGGTGACTTCTGCTCCTGATACCACACATCAAGAAGGGTGGGAAGGGAAACCTATCCATCCATTTAATTGTGAAACACAAACTGAGAAGTCAACGTGGGTGATAAGCGCATGAGCTGGCAAACCCAGCTGCAACGATCAATGTGAAAACTACCATTCTTGTTCTCCTCCAGACTTCCGCCCCACCTCTTCACCTGAAAGTAAAAAAGCATCCACAATTTTGAAGGTGTTGCCACTTTCAGAGGCTGAACTTTGCCTACTTTATAAACAGGCTTGAAAACTTGCTCTCTGCTTTAAATGGACATTTGGAAAGCTGCTTACCTGGCAAACCATGTAGTTGTATTTAAAGCAATCACATAAATGTATTTAAAGTTGAAGTCTCAGAAATTTGGAAAACACCAGGTCAAATGCCCCTGTCCCTCCCTCCTCAACCACATACGCGTGCACTCAATTCTACGAGTCCCACATCAAAACAGCCATGAAGCTGTGTCACATGCACAGCAGGATGACTTCATGGAAAACCAGATCCTTTAAACTACACCTCCTCTGTGAAATACTACTGCAAAATAGGGGAATTTATTGCTCCAATATTTATGGATATTTGGGAAGAAAAAGCATGTGGGCATAGTATGTGGATGCAGGTATTTCTCTCCCCTCCTATTCCTACTCCACTCCACAGTCTACTGCATACATGCAACTCCTGTATTGTTCTTAGGACACTCAACTTCTCAAGCGTACCAGTTTGGAAGGGGAGAGCCTTGTCTTCCCCACCAGTGACATTTTCTCAAATACCACACACACAGTCATCTACTGAAAGTTTAATCATCCCTAAAGGAGAGGTAGAGGACTGGCTTTGCTGTAACAGTTAACCAAGCGGTCTGACTACTGCAGAGGGGGTTTCCTGACTCAACGTAAGCTCTGGAAAACGATGCTGGCTGATGGCAAATTTCCATATATGGAACTGCAGCAAGGACGTACTTGTGCCACTAAGACAGAAAAACATATTCAGGGGTTAGACTGCGCACATTTAAAATAGTTTCCAACCTTGTTAGTGCTGAACTGTTTCCAAACATAGCAAAACAGAAGTTTCCAGTAAGTTCTATGCACTGCACTTCTGCAAACAATGCAAACAATTTTAAAAATTAAAAAAAAAAAAAAGGAAACAAGAGACCATTATTTAAAATAGTTTCCAACCTTGTTAGTGCTGAACTGTTTCCAAACATAGCAAAACAGAAGTTTCCAGTAAGTTCTATGCACTGCACTTCTGCAAACAATGCAAACAATTTTAAAAATTAAAAAAAAAAAAAAAGGAATCAGAGATCACTGATTCAGTAAATACACACAATCCTTCTGTTGCAAACAATCTATAATAGAAGCATTTCCTCTGTGCATCTGATGTCATTTTGCATGTGAGCAATTTCGTATCTATAATCAGTTAGTTGGTCAGCTGCCCTGCGTGTGCCAGGAAAGCTTTGCGCGGCCAGATAGGGGAGATATAAACTGCAGAAGACAAAAAGTTAGGAGGAATTATAAGGCAAACTAGAAACAATCTTGGCTACATCTGCTACTTGAAATTGTATGTGTGCGAATGATTTTTTTTAACTGAATGCATTTCAAGTTGACAGCATTTTTTAAACATATCTGTTCAAGTTATCTGGAAAATGGTGTTTCATTCAGTAAAAATTTTCCAAACATTCCAGGAAGTAAAATGACTCTGTAAATATCCTTTATATAAACTTCAAAAAATTCCCTTAACAGCAAGCATGAAAAAAACCCACAAACGATGGTTTTAACAGCTGAGATGCTGGCTTTTAGCATGAAGGAGACCTCTGAAACCTCCTCTTCACCAGTCTGTGACACCATGACCCAGTGTCAGGAACGCCGATGCCAACTGTACAACATACTTTTTTTTTAAATGGGCACAATGTGACCTGGATCCATCAGCTCCTCCTCCCCCACTGCTCTCCAGTCCATTTCCCCCGCGGCTGCTCAAGCACTCAAGCCAACACAGTGGGGAGGGCAAAGGAACAAAACCACTGCCCTTGGTGGCAGTCCTCGCTTCTTGCCATTTCCCAGCCTCTTTGCCCTGCAGTCAATATCTTCCCTTAACAAATTATACAACTCTCTTGCAAGGAGCTCTTCTGATGTGTTCGGACTAATCAAGACTCTTACTGCAACCAGGTGCTCAGCCCCAGCTCTCCCCCACCCACCCTCACTTTTTCCTTTTGAAGCTACCACCAAGTATGTTTTTGAGCCTAACAACAGTATTCAGTGCAATGCTGAAGGTACAAAAGGACAATTTCAAGTTGGTTTTAATTCCTCCTACTTGAGCATCAGCTGTTTTCCCAGTCATCTTTTTCCCTGCCAGTTCTTCAGCCATAATTTTCATCATTTGATAGACAGAGGGACATACAGGAAATTAAAAGACACAAAGGGGATCTACTTTTTACAAGTGTGACAACTGTGTTAAAGAGAGCAAAGCTCCTTCTCCTGCTTCGTGTCTTTGGATACATGTACACATTTTGGTCTGCACAACGCTGCCGACATCTCAACCTGCCCTGTTACTATTTCTGTCTTGATCCACACCATGAATGCCAAGCACTCAGACCTACACAGTACTTTTTAATACAACTGCAACATTAAATATACATACTTGCTTTTGTTTGTTTTCTCCCTAGTACTTATTAAATTACTCATGGTGTTGGCTGGAGTACACAGCACACACAAATATTGTGCTAGCTTTCCCCAAAATAGATTTTGCTACTGCAATTCGCAGATTGTTGCAGCACACTTCTGATCCAGGCCTCCTGGAGACAAGCTGTTGAGCTGGCATAGCTCTCTGCTGAAGCCCAAGATGATAAGAAATGAAAGCAGTTTAAAATGCTCATCTAAATAATACATGAGGACAAAAGCCACAGCCAATCCATCTCGTTTTAAAACAGATTGGCTCATTTTAAAACAATCTCATTTTATCGTCCCAGGTAAGAGATTGTTTGCCTCTTTCAGAAGGGACAGAGAAAGACATAAAAGCCACGAGGTTGAACATAAGTCTCTTGGGGAACACTGTCAAGACTAAAAGAGTAACTTCTCTTCTAACCTCCCTAACAACCTTAGTTACCTTTCAAAAACTCTAACGTCACTACTAGAGCATACCACATCACTTTATAATCTGCATTATTATTTAGTAAGGCAAATGCAATAGTATTTGAATACTTGAGATCTTTCAAGGTGCATTACTGTGGTAGTGGCCATTCCTATGAAGCACTGAGGACTTTGAGTAACAGCCTCCACATGCTACTAGAGTAAAGCATCCTATCTTGTAATGACTTTACTACCCCCTGCTTGTCTAGCTTTCAGCAGTAATCTAAAATTTTCTCCCGATCAGCTTCTTCACATAAGATTTATTAGCAAGGAGATAATGTAGATCAACTTTCTTAAACAAACAAAAAATAACACACAATACTTCAGATGGATCAGTCAACAAGCTGGGTATCATTTCCACATGCCAGATGGCTGACATGGGGAGTCAGTGGGGATCCCCATGTTCACCCGTGTTCTCCCTTTGTATGATAAACTTATACAGAGCATGACTTGGTATTAACAGGTTTTTTTCTATGGTTGTTGGGTAAAAAGGGCAGGAGCCATACACTATCCAGATTACTATTCTTGCAGGAAAATACAAAATAGCGTGCCACTATCCGCAGTAAACCAAGATTGAAAAGCATTAGTGATGATCCACAAATATCGGCATAACCACGTGTGTATCTCCCTGGCTGGAAGAGCACCGAGAGGTTGAATCACTCCACAGTGAGACTCTGCTGTGCGACAAACAAGTGGAAATTCTGACCGAGAGGTTTTGTGGTTTGTTCGGTTGTTTCAACTTGCAGAGCAGCAGGGTGAGCCAAAGCTCACTGAAATAGGCAAAAAAATTCTTATCAGTTTCGACGGACTTTGTGTTGGGCAATGAGAGGGCATTCTTCAGTCATGCAAAACAGGCCTGACCTTGGGCCCACATAAGCAAACCTCTGGCAAAATGAAGGGAAGTCATCATTTGGACACTATACCTCAGCTCACAAGGTTCAGCTTCTGCACCTTTCAAAAAAAAAAAACAAAAAAACAACCCACAAAATACCAAACCCAAACCAAACAAAAAAACCCTCAACCCCAACTCAAAAAAACCACACCCCCCCAAAACCAAACAACCCTCAAATATTAAAAGTTTGAGTTCATAAATGTTAATCATAAACATAAGCATTAGCACAATATTACTACTCATATATTTCATTCTCTTTACCACCAGCTCTCTTAACAATAACAGCAAGTCTTAATTATTAAGAAAAAACAGAACGTCTATGTGCACATACATGCACGAGCAAAAATTTCCTGGAAAGGAGGCAAGCAGTGCATCAGTCTGACATGTTCTAAGAACTGAAGAAAACCTTGTGAGCTATTTTTTTTTGTTCTCCCAGGATAAAATCTGCTGTCAGTGCTGGCTGATCAGGGTTCTTGTTTTACATTATGCCTTGCTGTAAACGTCTCGCTAGATCTCAACTTAGAGCAAGAGAAGCCCATAACTTGCAAGCAGTTTAAAAACTAACAGCAGCAATAAAAAAAAACAAAAACAAAAAACAAAAAAACAAAAAACCAAAACAAAACACCAAACCCAAGTCACATATTATGACCCTGCAAATTGTTTTTTACTAAAACACTGTGCTACGTCCATGTGGATTACGGATATCCTTCTATTTCTAGGCTGGCAGGCATCCAAATTCAGAGCAATCA